CTAGTGTAACTGATACTTGGAAGACATTAAGGTCAAATGCATCTGGTCTCCTTAATAGAACAACTGGCCCCAGGTTGAAATGGTGCATAACCGCTACTGTTTATCTTACTGGGAAAAAAAATACGATTCACATGAATCCAGCACTTGGATATGTGTGCAGTCCAGAATAATATTAGCAAATTAGTTTTTGGGGGATGCGCACAGCGTAAAATTTGGAGGATGCGGGCATCGATCCCGCTACCTCTCGCATGCTAAGCGAGCGCTCTACCATTTGAGCTAATCCCCCAACCCACATGAAAGAATCACACAGACTAGGAGAAATTAGATAGAATTAAGTGAGGTTATATATTTGAGCTAAAATATGAGCTGGAAACAGAAACATCCGTACGCGTATTTTCATGACTGACTCCTAACACGCATGCGCCGGATGGTCGAGTCGCTTCACTTGGTGAAAAGCGAAGTTATCGACAGAAAAAAATGATCAAGCTTATGTAAGCAAGAGAGTCTAAACAAGAAATCAGTTGCATATTTGTAAAAACTGCAAAATGTGACTGCAGAGAATTGCATAACATCAGTTTTCAAAATTGTCTTTTGCTTTTCGGCAATCTTGTGTAACTAGCTTAATACTTTGAGGACATTAAGATGATGATGATGATGAAACCCTTTATTGCTGTTGCAATACACCATGTCACTAGTCACAAGTACCAGCGAAAAAAACTGGCCATCAACCAGACCATACATACACAAACATCACATTATAGGGGGTAGACCGGTCAGGGATATAGGATCAAAGATCAAATGCATCTGGAAACCCTAATAGACAACTGGCCGCAGTCTGCCCCCCCAGGTTGAAATGGTGTAGAGCCACTACTGTTTATCTCACTGGGATTCACGTGATTGCACTACTTAAGTATGTGTGCAGCTCAGAACAGTATTAACAAATTTGTGGTCTGGGCAGAGCGTAAAAGCTGGAGGATGCGGGCATCGATCCCGCTACCTCTCGCATGCTAAGCGAGCGCTCTACCATTTGAGCTAATCCCCCTTGCCCTGTGACAGGATTACTCACACAGACTGTGATAAAACAGAATTAGGTGTCCACCTACATTATAAGGATGAATCACATTATCATATGAAAAGAATGATAATGAATGACAAAATAAATTAATCAAAATTAAAAGTGCATAATGCATCACATGTGGTACAGCGATGTTTCTTTTTTGAAGTACGGTTGTGGAATTCGTAATACTTCGTACTGGCCACAACTTTATGCAGAAACACGTGGTGGAGATACGGAAAAACTACACTTCCCGTGGTGCGCAAAAGCGGAAGCGACCTTGCGGGTGACGAGGGCGGAGTTCAGTCCCGACAAAATGGCGAGCGGAGTTGGAAGTGAGTATTGTGGTTAGCTAGACTGCTACCTGAAAGCTCTGAGTAAAATTGGCACCCAAGTGCTGTTTACGATGACTGCTGTGTAAATAAGGTGCCACGCATCAACCATGCGTGTAGTTTATGGCTCCAAGATAACTTTAAGTACTAGCTAGCTAGCCGTAGTATTTGTTTTGAAAAATCGGATCGACTTAATGTTATTGTACTGTGTCAGAGTTATAATACGTTATTTTTATTGGTAGCCCCGTATACACATGTCTTTGCAGTTAGTTTCTGTAACATTGTATTATGTCGCTGCTTGTTGGGATTGCCTACGCCCGGACATTAGCGTATTGACGCGAACTAACTGCAGGCATGTTAAAGCCAAAAAGCACGCGCCGCCTTCCATGTCAGTGGATGCACGGTTATCAGCGATGCAACGTGTATAGACCCTCACAGACACTTTGTTACTATAACGCAGTAAAACGGATACTGTGTTTTTTCCCCCGGAATAACTATTTCAAATAAAAGAAATTTGTCGTCTCTCCTGTGCTGTTCAGTTCTGCATTTGACATGGCCACCGTCATTGTCATTCTTTCACCTTCAAACGTCCGTCTCTCTACACCCTGTTTCACTCTGTCCAACATCTGCCCCCACCCTACTACACACCCCGTTCCACCCTGTCCCTTTCTCTTCTCCACTGTAGAGCACAAGCTGCTGTCTCTGGGCCCCACGGAGCCCTGGTCAGTGAGAGAAAAGCTGTGCTTGGCCTCCTCTGTCATGAAGAGTGGAGATCAGAACTGGTAAATGCGGGCTGGGTTTTTGTCTGTCCTGCACACATTCGATCCAGAGCACGCCGGGCCCCTGTGTTTCCTTACTCTGGACTACAGGAACATCAGCTTGGCTTTCAGCTCCTCGCTGTCCTTAATAAAGTGTTTGTTTTTTTCACCCTTGGTGCCTTTTTTGTTTATCTTGCCACATTACTGCATAGGGTTTTTTTTTTTTTTGGAGAAATCATGTGCAATAGCAGATTTCTCTCTGTCTCATAGGGTGTCTGTCAGCAGAGCCATCAAACCTTTTGCAGAGCCAGGAAGACCCCCCGACTGGTTCTCACAGAAGGTACGGGAGACACACACATATGCAGGCTCACTGAACTTGAGGTTACATGCTGATAGAGGCTAGTGCTCCGGGTTTAAGGGGAGTTAACTCAAGGTTGCTGATTAGGAGCCCAGTGTATTATCTGACACTTCTGAAGTGTTTCTAAACCCAGTTCTCAGGGATCCCGACACGGTCCACGCTGCGATGGAGGAGTTCCGTCCCACTCGGGGTGTGCTCTGTGTATCTTGGGATATGCCCCAGAATAGCCATGAACCTCTACTGGATAAACAGATGGGGGAAAAGAATGGATTTATGTTAATAATGGTTCCTGGTTCTGTGTGAGCTCAGACAGAACTGCTGTGTAAATGTTAGAGGAGAAGCCAATAGAAACCAAAACGGCATTTTCAGTTCGTCTTCCAAACTGCTTGCCCCTGTCCTTTTAAAACACATGATAATATGAAGTTTACTTATTAGAAACAAAAGACACCTTTCAGATTGGGGCGAAATAACAATGGGGCCTCACTCCCTTTGATATAGGACAGTGTTTCCCAATCCGGTCCTCGGGGACCCGTAGCCGGTTCACGTTTTTGCTCCCTGCCAGACAGTCCACATTTTTGCTCCCTCCCAGTTCCCGGTCGGGGAAAAAAAACGTGGACTGGCTGTGGGTCCCCCAGGACCGGATTGGAAAACACCGATATTAGAGGCTAATCATTCTCGTCACAGAAGTGCTTTTTGGCTGTTGCCGTATCCGCCTTTCATGTGTTTTTGGGAGTAGGGGTGACTCAGGCAGTAAACACAGTGCCATTGATTAGGCCACACCCATCTGTGCTGAGCTCTAAGCTTGCTGCAGCATGAATTACTTTACAAACTAAGCGCGGCCACTAGATGGCACCTGTAGCACTTAGAAAACGTCCAAGCCGTCAGCCAGGCAAGATGGGAAATGTAATTACAGTCATGCACTGCATAACGATGTTTCGGTCAGCGACAGACTGCATTTACAACGGTGGTCCCTTAAGATTTATAACAGAGATGGAAAAATTCATATCACCTGGAGACGTGTTTGTGGTGATGCTGGTGTAAGCAGACCTACTGCACGTCCAGTTATATAAATGTATATAAGTTATATATATATATGGCACAAAATATGTGACAGTGACAACTGTGTTACTGGTTTATGTACTTCCTGTACTTTTTAATTGTTTTTTTAGGGTATACAGAAAAAAAAAATTACTGTAGCTTAGGTATGTAGTAATTCATCTCGGTTTGTGTAAGTACACAGTGATGTTTGCACAACGACAAATTCACCTAACGACGCATTTCTCAGAATGTATCCCCATCGTTAATACCAACTCATGAC